GTAAGTCATTCTAGTTCTTCTGCGTGGGATGCTGCCACAGCATGGCTTGATGACCAGTGTATAGGTCTGTGCCCAGGATCTGAACTGGCAAACCTCGAGACACCAAAGCAGAGCACACAAACTTAACCACTCAGGCACGGGGCTGGCCCGCTGATTCCATATTATTTAGGTGTGTTTATGCACTACTTAAAGTCTCCCTCCTACCACAGGTGGTACCTGCCTCATGCTCTAGAGAAACCTCGCAAGTTTCAAAATTTTGGTTTCTAAGATTCATTAGCTTTGTAACCTTGAGGAAGTTATCCAACATTTCTGGATTTTGGTTTCCTGTTTTATAGATAAGGAAAATAATGTCTGTCTTGAAGAGTTCACCTAACAAACTTTTATTGTCCATCTACTATCTGCATGACATTATGCTAGAGAAACCACGGAGAAAAAGACAGACAAGACCTCGATGTTCCTGGGGCATGCAGTCCAATGATGGAGAGATGATAAAGCAAGCAAACGAGAATCATAGCAAACAGTTTAGTGTAACAGAAAAGAACAGAGTGTGAGCACCGAGAACTGGGAAATCAGCCCCTCTAAGGGCTAAAAGAGTAACTGATGGAAAGCTCTGGGCACACTGGCCAGTTACTATTATAGTCCTCACCTGGTAGCTGCCAGAACTGCTCTCCTCAAAGGGGAGCCTGCCATTAGCAAATCACAAGTGTGCCCCTCCCCAGCCATGCCGCTTGTGCACACCTCCTACCAGGGTCATCCAATCTGTGCTCTTTCTGTCCATCTGAGGATGGAGGGAGGCCTCACACAGACTGCCAGCAGGGAAAGCTATTGGCTGCAGACCTTGCCTGGCACAGACCCTCCGCTGAGCTGGCTTTGTCCCTTTGCATAACGGGTACCACCTGGGTCCCAGGGAGGGCAACTGGCATCAATTAGTTCTCACTGAGCCCAAGCTGGAGCGGCACCTGGCTCCCCTCCCAGGTGATGGCGTTGGAAGCCGCCAGCTCCTGAGCTGTGGGTCTTTTACTCCTAATGACCTCCATTGGTGACCTCTCCCCGATCAGGCAGGGCCCACCAGGCCCACAGCTGCCACCATCATGAGAAACCCGGTTCTCAGAGCTAAGGGATTGGACCCCATCCCCCACTGTGCCTGGAGGGGCCAGATGTGTGCACTGAGGACAATGTAAGCAACAGAGCGACTCTGAAAATTCCGTTTCTAGCTTTCATCCTTAGAATTCATTCAGTATTGAAAGATAGGCCGTCTAGACTCGGTGGTGTTGCACAGAACCTAAGCAGGTACTCTGAAGGCAGACATGGGAGAGACCCGCTGTTTCCAATTGTCTGGTCTTGGGCAAGTTTTGTCACCTCCGTAAGCATTGGTTGCTCTGTCTTAAAATGGGCACGGCAATCATCGTACCTACCTCAAAGCAAGGGGAAGGAGTAAGTAAAATCATCTGTGTCAACACATTTAGGAAATGTTCCAATGTTCCATGTATGTTTGCTATGACCTGTCTTCTTCAATCAACAAATGTTTCGGAGCATCTAATATAAGGGAGGCCCTGTTCTAACCCCTGGAAACGCAAAGACAAATAACAAAGGATTGTTGGAAGTCCTCTCATCTGGTGACCATCCAGTTTTTTTTTTTTTTTTTTTTTTTTTTTTTTTTAAGATTTTATTTTTTCCTTTTTCTCCCCAAAGCCCCCCGGTACATAGTTGTGTATTCTTCGTTGTGGGTTCCTCTAGTTGTGGCATGTGGGACGCTGCCTCAGCGTGGTCTGACGAGCAGTGCCATGTCCGCACCCAGGACTCGAACCGACGAAACACTGGGCCGCCTGCAGCGGAGCGCACGAACTTAACCACTCGGCCACGGGGCCAGCCCCTGTGACCATCCAGTTTTTAGACTGCAATGCATCTAAACTGGGGGAAAGACCCTATACTTGACTGGCTCACTTTGCTTTTGCCGTGTAACAAACCACCCCAAAACTTCCAGCGATGAACATTCCTACTTTCTCATGACCCTGTGGGTTATCCACGCACTTCTTCTGGTCTGGGCCAGCCTGGCCAGAGCTGGGTGGTCCAGGACAGCCCCATGCTCAGCTGGGATGTCTGCAGCCACTCTCCCCATGGTCTCTCAGTCTCCTGGAGGCCATGGTGGGCTTCCGTACCATGTGCCAGAAGATCGCACAGTAAGAAAGAAGGCAAGCTCCAACTCACAAGCACTTCCCAGGCCTCTGCCTGTGACACATTAGCTATGGTTCCATTGGCCAAAGCAAGTCACAAGGCCAAAGTCTCTATGGGAGGGGACCGCCCAAGGACATGGAACAAGCAAGAACAGATGGGGCCATCACTGCCACAGTCAACCACACCGAGCTATTCCCACTTCCCAGATGAGAAAGAATTTGACAATGAAGAATCAGAGAAGGAATATATGGGAACCACACATTATGTACTTCAGTGGTCCCCAAACGTTTTTGATCACATACCCCTGTGTTAGTCAACTCAGGCGGCCATAACAGAATACCATAGACTAGAGGGCTTAAACAACAGAAATTTATTTCTCGTAGTTCTGGAGGCTGGAGTCCAAGATCAGGGTGCCAGCATCATCGGGTTCTGGCGAGAGCCCTCTTCGTGGCTTGCAGATGGCTGCCTTCTTGATTTGGGCTCACAGGGCCTTGCCTGGGTGTGTGTGCATGGAGAGAGCTCTCTCTCTCTTCCTCTTCTCATGAGGCCACCAATCCTATTGGATTAGGACCCCATCCTCATGACCTCATTTAACCTTAATTACTTCCTAAAAGCCCTAACTCCAGAGACAGTCACATTGGGCACTAGAGCTTCAACACATGGGAAGTGGGGGACATAATTCAGTCCATAGCAATCCCTAATTTTTTTATTTTGCCTCTCCAATATATGCATATTTATGTATACGTTACATACACTTTCCATTAAATAGAAAATTTAAGTAGATAAGTTAAAGGTACAAAGTAATATTTTAAGCATTAATTTTGATGACTCTTTACTATTAATAACTAATATTCCAAGGCACAATGGGATAGTGAGTTTCATCATTAATGACAGTGAATGTAAATCCATCTTTCAAGGAAGCTTCTTGATAATTTTACTTTTGGGGGCAAGGGGACGGACTTCTTGTCCCATCTCACTTTTCCCTCACAATGTGCTAACGCAGAGCTCACACCAGCTACAGCACTTCTGCTAATTTCTTGGTTTTTACCCAGACTTGTACTATTAGCATTGTCTTTAATCCTCAGTCTCTCTACAGCAATCTATTCAAACTATTTTTTCATTTTGTGGGGATTAGTTGAGCTAAAACTAGATTGTGTGCTTTACAAGTCCACTTACCCAGCACATGTAGACCATATTACCTCAAATTCCCCTGAGATTCATGCATACGTGAGGTCACCACCATTGGCCCCCACATTGTGGAGCCCTCAAGGGCCCACCTGTGCTGCGGGTAACATAGAGCCCTCTGACACACCCACCAAAGGAAGCTACTAGTGCCAATCTTAAAAGATTAGGAAAGTATAATTGCTTCCTTACTGTTCTTGCCCCAAAGTTCCACTGTTTTTCCCCAACCCGGTGGATTGTGTTGAACACCCCGACTTGGAGACCATTGATTCGCTTTGTCAAAGACAAATATGAGGTTTTGTATGTGATCTTCAAATTTAAAACAATGCCTTATGCCCAACGTTGGTAAAAACGGAAGAGCTAACATAAAGTATCTGGTGAGTAGGGCTTGGTCTTACATAAAACTGGAAGTCTGTAGGATTGTGGGCCATAGGCTCACAAAAAAACTGCAAAGGCTATTTGATATTTGCATGAGTGCGTGGCCCTCCGGGACATTCTCAGCTCCCTCCCCAGACCACGCACTGGGCTTTAGGACTCCAGTCCTATGTTCTGCTAGTTTCCTGCAGCTGTCATAACAAATTGCACAAGCTTGGCAGCTTAAAACAACAGGAATTTATTCTTTCACAATTCTAGAGGCTAGGAGTCTAAAATCAAGCGCCAGCAGAGCCGTGCTCCCTCTGGAGGCCCTGGGGAGAATCCTGCCTCGGCTCTTCCAGCTTCTGGTGTTGTCAGCATTCCTTGGCTTGTGTCACTCTGCTCTGTCTTCATATTGCCATTGCCTCCTTGTGCCTGTCTTCTCCTCTGTGTGTCCTTTACCAGGACATTTGTCATTGATTTAGAGCCTACCCAGATAATGCAGGATGATCATCTCATCTCAAAACCCTTAACTTAATTACATCTGCAAAGACTCCATTTCCTGATAAGGTCATATTTGCAGGTTTTGAGGGTCATCATGCAGCCCACTGCACACATCCTCCCCACAATTTTAACAGGTGAAGGGGGGCCCAGAAGGAGGGTGAGGGCACAGTGTGGACCGGCTTCTGCCTTTTCCTCTCTTGTGGCTGTACAGGGCTTTTCTGAACACCAAGCTCCATCAAAGGAGGCTTCCCCCTGCAAAGAAGCATGTCCTGGTTGTTCACAATTCACTCATGTTTTCCGATGTGAAGGAAATCATTGCAACTTAGAGAAGCAATTTCTTGCCCTTTAAGGACTGTTAAGGCTCCTTCCTCCTGTCTTTCCACTACCATTTCCATGCATTTCTTCTCCCCTAGGACTCTTCAAAGCATTCTCTAGGACACAAGCAGCTTGGTTTCTGATCTCTAGGGATGGAGCCAGACAGCTGGGGTTTTATCAGCGGGCACAAAGGCAGCAAAGCCTGGCCAGCCCCAGGGGCAGAGTTCTGGCCTGACAAGGAAGGGAAGAGTGGACTGGGAGATTTCCTCTTGGCCTCAGAGTCAAACCACTTTCAAGTTTAACCAGGTGTTTGCCCCGTGATCAGCGTTGCTCTGTTTAGCAAATAAGAAGGCAGGACGCCCAGTGGAATTTGGGTTTTGGATAGACAATGAGTTTTTTAGTATAAGTATGTCCCATGCAATATTTTAAAATCTACTTAAAATGCACTATTTGGAACATAGTTCTATTTTAAAAAATGATTGTTTATCTGAAATTCAAATTTAACTGAGTGTCCCACATTTTGTCTGTCAACCCTACCTATGACCTTCCCTATCTCTCTTCCTCTCCTTCCTTCCATCCTTCCTTCCTTTCTCCCTCCCTCATTTCCTTCCTTGCTTCCTTCTAAAAAGCCTTTGTTTTGAGCCCACTGTCTGCAGAGTCCTTTACTAGGAACAAATCAAGTATAATGCTTTCCTTCAAGGTGTTCACTGCATAGAGCAGGAGACAAACTGGTAACCACTGCCTTTCACCCAGTGGGATTCATCCCCATCCTAATACACGTTCAGACGAACCATTTGGGGGCCACAGAGGAAGGAATAATTAATTCTGTACGGGGTGGAGCCAGATGAGGTGGAAAAGAGGAAAAGAGCTTGGGAAAAGGCTTAGGGATGGTGGCTCTTGGCCTTGACCTTGACGGATAGGTATGAAGCAATGGGAGGCAATGGAGGTGTCACTGTGGCCGGGTTGGTGAGGCAGGAGCTGTGTGTGTGTGTCTGTGGGGGTGCTAGTGGCGCTGATGTCAGGAGGAAACCAGAAAGGTTGTTTGGAGTCGAGATGCTGAGGAGTTGGGGCTTTCTCTGATGGGTCTTGAGAGACTGACTATACAAATGGACCTTGGCCAGACCAGAGATGATGGTAGAACTCTAACCACAACCTGTGAAGCAACCTGTCCAGGAAGCCAAACGACAGCGTCTGCAGCCATCTGCCCAGAAAGTTCAGGACTCGGTCAATGCCTGCCAGTTTCCCTATTGTTTTGTCCCTGCTTCCAACTCAGGACCAAGCACACAAGAAGCCCCATTTCCAGATGCCCTCCTCCAGCTTCCCCAGGCAGGGCACACTTGAAGACTTCCTTTTTCTTCGCTGTAATGCTTCCCCACTCCCCCGCCTGCCTTTGAATTTCTGCTCTAAATAAACAGCTGGTTTGTTCTCACTGAAAGTGGCCTTCATTTATGTCCTGAGTGTAGTCTATGATATTGCTTTTTAAGACAGGGAGAGGGGCAATGGGAGTAGCTCGCTCTGTGGAAACTCATACGCTGATACCTGGTGTCATGACAACCACAGATGCTGGTAGCATTTGGAGCTGGAAAAATCTGCTTTGTGAGGCCCTTTGCAATCCATACACACACATGCAATTTTTCAATGTTTATATTCACCTGCAGATCCCCAAATTCTTTTATATTCTAAAGAAAGGCTTCGAATCTTTAAAGTGAAGTTTAAAAACAGGAGTATTGTTACCCTTAATTTTCTTTTTGAATCATTATTTTGTTTCCCCTTGTGGTAGATTGCATCACTGACTCCAATTTGTCACCCTTCCTTGTACCCACACCCTCAGCCGTTGGACTCGGCAGCACCTCCCACTAAATGGGTGGAGCCCCTTGATGTTGAGTTTGGCCATGGGACCTGCTTTGGCCAATGGGAGATCAGCAGATATGATGCAAGCAGAGGCTTGAAACAGGCTCACTCACTGGGGTTTGGGCTCCTGCTCCTCTGCCATCTCCATGAGAAGAACATGCTCAAGAGAGCCTGCTGGATACAGGAGTGGGGTGAGAGTCAGGTGGAGCTGAGCCACCCCCAGCCACACACAGTCTAGATTAGACAACCACCAGCTGACCCACAGGCCCATGGGTTAAATAAATGGTCCTTTTTTTGGTGCCTCTGAAATTTTGTAGTTGTTTGCTAAGCAGTGCCTCTGTGCCAGTAGTTGAGCATCGCACCCCCTGATTCCAGAATTTCAAGAACATTTTCATTACCATGAATATGTGACTATTCATAGCAAATCCTATTGGTTGCCTCCCCAGATCCATGCCTCCTGCCATTCTTTCCTGCTGGGAGAGCCCTGACTTCTTTTCAGGAGTTCACCCTCTGCCCAGCCCAGACAAGAGCTCAGGGAAGGTGTCCTCTTCAACCGCAGGGAGCGAGTCTTGACTAATCGAAGCCAATTGTAGGTTGCTGGTGTTGTATGTAATCATGCTGTGTTGTATGACATGTGAGAAGTCAGCTAGGGGCTTTCTGGAAAGGCTTCTCTTTAAAAGAAACTCACGAGATGGTGCTTCCTTTTTTTAAGCCTCTAGACTTTTGGAGCTGCTGCTGCCATTTTGGAACCATGAGGGGAGCTGACAACGGGACAGGCTAACATTCTGAGGAGGACAGATGAGGAAGATCCTGAGTCCCAGATGTCGCTGAGGAGCCGTCCCCTCGTGAGCCTTGGAGCTGCCCTATCTCGGGGCTGCTTGTTACACATCCTCGTTGTTCAGGCCGTGTTTCCTCACAGTTTCTGTTCCTTACAGCTCAACTCTTCCTGCCTGATCCGGATGCTTCCTCAGAAGAGGAAAATCCAAGTTAAAGAGAAGGGTGTGTTGATTTTCTTCTCTTTCTTATGTTTTTATCTAGTGATTCATCACTGGGGCAAGGCCTCTAACAAAATCTTTAAAGATGGGCTTAAAAAATGTTTGCTCCCATGCACACTTCCGAAATTTGATTTTGAGGGTTTTCACCATGGCTACAAATATGTGATGACATGACTTCTGGCCCCACCGTGTGACTCTGTGATGCTTTGCGCAGCGATGTGAGGACCCAATTTCAGAAGCGTAGGCTGATAGGTAAATGTGGGAAGAATCTCGCCAAGCATAAGTTCCCTTGGTGGTGGTCCCTCCTTCCAAGGAGGAACTCCCGGGGTCTACTACACTTATGTGGCCAGGGTGAAATTGACCCTTTTTAAGTAGTGGCAGCTAAATCATATAAAGCAAATGCAATCCACAAGAATGATCTTTCTCCAGCACAACGAGCATATGGTACATTCGCTTAGTATGATCCATTTCACTTCAGTAGACAGTACCTTCAGAAACACATTAAATTGTCATTAGGTTTTATCTAAACTTGCTGATAATTTAGGTCACGTGACTCTCTCCTCCTCTTCCCACGCTGTGCTCAGCAGAAACCGGCTCATGCTAAATTATCATTCATTTTGTTAAAGCAAAACTTCAGGCCACTCTCTGGACTTGCCAAACTTTCTCCCATCCCTGGGCCACGGCCCTCGCTCTTTTTTTCCCCTGGAATGTCTCTCTCCCATTTACTGGCTGGCAACCTCCTCATCATCTGGCAATGCAAAATTCCAGTGTCAGCTCTTCTCTGAAGCCTTGCCTGGACCCCACAGCAATGCTGCACGTGCGGTAGTTGAAGTCAGGCCCACTAGATTTCGGATCCAGCTCTGTCCCCACTCAGCTAGGTGACCTCAGTGGCAGAGCCCAGCTTTTCTGAGCCAAGTCTCAGCTTCCTCGCCTGTAAAATCTGCATCACGATTGCCCCTGCCTCAGGCTTGTGCCCACTGAGATGAGATCGTGTGAGAGGCCCTGGCATAGAGTCAGGGCTCAAATATTTTGGCTATTGTTACTGGGGACCTTCCTGCGGAATCATAAAGCTTTATAGCCACACGGGGCTTCAGAGTAGCTCTTCTCAACCTTCACTGTGCAAACAGATGACCTGGGGATCATGTCAAAATGCAGTGGTTCTGGGGCGGTGCCTGAGATTTTTGTGTGTTTCTTACAATTTCCATGGTGTTACAGATGCAGCTGGTCCCAGGACCGCCCTTGGAATAGCAAGTCTGTAGGAGACTTGGAGCTCCTGCCTGTCTTACAGAAGAGGAGGGTGAGTCCCACGAGGGGCTGCTCCAAGCCCACAGAGATCCAGAAAGCTGCTGAGAGAGGCAGCACAGAACCCAGCCGTCCCGGTGGAGTTCAATGAGAGATTAACTTTTCCATCCTCATCAGAAACAACCATGTGAAGTGTATCTATGCATTGCGAGTTCCTTTCCCTCACCCCGAGAGCCAGCGCCCCATTTCCTGAATGAGGTAAGTTTTATTCCTGACTCTCAGACGGGAGGAAGAGATGGACAATGTCAAGAACAAGGGCATTAAACTAAAATGAGTGGTGTTCTACTGGGGGAGAAGTGGAAACACATTACCTCAGGGCCCGTGGCATAAAACATAGCGTAGAAGGAGCAGCCAGGGTTTAAGAAATCAGGAGAGTATGCAGAAATAGTCATTGCTTTGCCAACGTGAGGGAAATACACACAACTCACTCCTCTTTGGGGCGGCATCCAGGCTGACGCGGCTCCACTATGTGGCAAACTGAGATGGGTCCTTTGGCTTTTCCAAGTCTATCCCAGAGTTATTCCTTACTTAAGAGGACATGTCCAACACATCCCACCGTCTGGGGCACTGCCCAAATGCCATCACATTTACCATCACTGTGGGTTCTAATTTTTCCCCACACCTGACCTTTGCTCTCATTTGACTCATCCCAAAGCCCAGTCCTTGCTCCTGGTACAGCCAGAAAGGAACTAACTAAAGAAAACATACAGTGCCCCTCTTCAAGGAAAGCGCTAGAAACTCCCGGCTCCTGAATGCAATCCTTTAGAGAAGGCGTGACTCAAGCCTAAATAAGATCTGATGCTTAACAATCTTCCGTCACCCACAAGCCCTCTTGGTGTCAGCAAAGGTTTTCCCATCAGCCGCTGGAAGGAATAAGAAAAGGAAGCAAATCAAACTGCCGAGTGTCGCTTAGCCCCAAATGGCGACAAGAGCCCAGAGGGGCAAGTGCCTGGAGAAAATATTTCAATTCTTCTGCATCATGACAATAATTATTCCAGCAATTCTTTTTATTTTCTATCAAAGCACAACCAGTAAACTCTCACAGGTCTCTGTGCTGTTTGCTGGAAGTAAAGGACAAGACAAATCGCTCTCATCCTCAGAGAGTTGAGAATCCATAGGAGGAGGAAGAAATGATACAAAGACTAGGAAACAAGGTGAAGAGCAGCTCCTGCAGTCCAAAGGGCAGCAGAATTGCTGAGGGAGGGGAGCATGAGCCCTGGTAGAGCACCACCCTCTGGGCAATTTTCATAGTTAGTTTTGTGGTCCTGGATTCTCCACTCCCCTAGGGATATCTTGAATATGAAACAAGTTGTCTACCTTAAAGAATAAATGAACAGGAAATACTGTGTATAGGCAGTCCTCTGCTTTTATAAATGTGAAAACATGTATAAAAGTAACTGCATAGAAGTGGAGCAAAAGACTGACACATTACACATGGTTGTTCCATCCCAAACAGCACTGTACAGTTGGGCAGGTTATTCACTGTACGAGGGCACCCAGCCAAGAGGGTAAGTGGGGACTGACATCCGGCTGTGTACTCTGGTGCAGAGTTGTATTTATTGAGAAAACAAGGAGTCCCTTTTTCTGATTTGCACAGGACACCATATCGGCTAGTAGTGGCCCTGATCCTGAGAGGTTAAAAAATATTTTTAAACTCCAGTCAAATATTGATAGCATTTTCTTTCATGCTGTTTTTTTCTTTGCTGTTGAGTCTATGGTAGATCCACTTAAATCCAATGAGCATGTAAATAAGCCAAAGATTGGCCACTTTGGTTAACGATTTCCATCTTTTAAAGATGGAAATCTTGCTTTAAGCAAGTGATAGGTGCATCTCTCTCATGTGAGCACTTTTTTTTTTTCTACTTTTCACTCTTTTTTTTTTTTTTTTTTTAAAGATTTTATTTTTTCCTTTTTCTCCCCAAAGCACCCCCGGTACATAGTTGTGTACTCTTCGTTGTGGGTTCTTCCAGTTGTGGCATGTGGGACGCTGCCTCAGCGTGGTCTGATGAGCAGTGCCATGTCCGCGCCCAGGATTCGAACCAACGAAACACTGGGCCGCCTGCAGCGGAGCGCGCGAACTCAACCACTCGGCCACGGGGCCAGCCCCTTTTCACTCTTTTTTTAAAACAACACGGGCAAAACGCAATGAAACTTTGCAACAGTCACATGTGTCCTGTTGAACAAAAGCGGCAACTGCTCACGGTGCCCTGTCACCTGGCAGGCAGCACCATCTTGGGTGGCTCAAATGATTTTTTCAGTAGCTGGCGCATGACAGCCTAAATTTGTTCCAGAAGAGGCAGATTAGGGGTGTCGACGCATACGATGCTTCTCCAATCGTCCGGTGGGGGACCCCCTCTAACACTTGCACCAAACGTTAGCTATAGGCTCCTGCTTGATGCTGAGAATTCCTGGCACCCTCCCCCAAGGCACAGCCCCCCATGCTGTACCCTCTTCTCCTGCTGCTCGGGACGCCTGGGTGCCTGTAAACCCCTGCGTCCATCTCCTGTGCTCACTGCTCTCTCGGCCCGTTTGGCACAGTTCAGAAGCAGCCAGGAATCCTTCCCAGCTCCGACCCTGTGGGATCTGCCCTCTTGCTGGCTCCATCTCCCAGAGGGACCAGGACCTCCGAGGTTATGAGTGGCACTTGCCGACTAGCCTGTCCCCTCCAGGAGCAGACCCCCCTCCGTTGCTGTCTGGTGGAGGAACTCATTTGCCATCCCTGCAGGTCTCCACTAATTGTTCCCTTTTCCCTCCCCCTTTTCCTAATCTGGCCATTCATCCATAGCAGTATCCGCTTATTCCATGAACATTTGCCAGGTAACTCCTTGCATGAGGCCCCGCGCTAGGCACTGGGCGATGCACTGACAGACGTGGCGCTGAGGCCCTAGAGGTGGGGGAGGTAGACGACAAACAAATATGCATGAATAAGGACCAACTGGTGGTGTGAAGAGACTAACCAGAGTGTCCTTCAGAAGAGTCGGGGGAGGGCACGCTCACAGAGTCAGGGCCGGCCTCTCTGAGCAGATGACCCCCAGGCCAAGCCCTAAAGGGTAAGAGGGAGTCAGCCATGTGGAGAGCAGGCAAGAGAGGTCCAGAGAGAGACACAGCGCGGGTGAAGGTCACAAGGCCTAACCAAAGACTGGGAGCATGTGCACCTGTCTGGAGCATGTGGGGGAGGGGGGAGTGGCAGGAGGGGGAGTGGTGGGCGAGGTGGACAGGGGCCACTCACACAGGGACAACCTTGTGTCCTACAGGGCCTGCAAGAGCCTCTGTGATTGCGTGGCCCTCTGACCCTGGCCCCATCCACCTTACCTTATGTATTCCAATCTTGCTGTGTTTGGATAAGTGGCCCTGAGTCACATCTTCCACCAAAATTGTAGAAATGGTTCCAAATGAATCTCTCTTCCTCTTTTCTACCAAGAAATTAAGAGGGTATTGAAATCTGAATACATCCCACCAGATTGACTTGGTTAGATCAGCTTAAAAGGAACGCATGAATTCACGCAACTTCTGAATTGATTCGATTTTGAGTATCCTTGATGCCAAACAATGAGCTCGCTGAAGGTGCCGGCTTTGCTTCAGTGGCTTGGGAGCCCCGAGACCTGACCACAGACAGAGCCGAGGCGGGAGGAGCGAGCGGGAGCCGAGGAGGACAGCTCCCCAACAGCCCAGGACGAGCAGCTAAGCTGTCTCAGGTCCTGCCTGTGCTGGGAGACCAGCCACGCCTTCCTGCCTGCTGGGAGGAGAGGCACAGGTGCAACCTTTCTGGCAGTTTCTGTGGATGTCTCATATGCACATGCCCTTTGACTCAGCAGCTCTGTTAGATGCCCCCCGATGGGTATACTCACTGAGGTACAGCAAGACAGCACAGGCGTTTGTAACCCCCAAAAGCTGGAAACAACCTAAATGACTTTCAGTTGGCCAAATCTGGCTGAGTGGATTTTGGTCCACCCATATGATAGACTACTGTGCCGTGATTATAAAGAAGGAGCTAGATCTTTATGGCCTGAGATTAAGACTTCAAACAGTAAATGATACTAGAGATGGTCAGTTCAGTCCAACAACCCATCTACGGAACACCTCCTATGAACACCTACATCTGACGCTATATGAGGCCTGGGGAGAGAGCAGATACTAATGCAATTTTGTCCCTGCCCCCCAGGAAGCAGACACACATAGATAACTCTCACAGCTGCAGGCAAGGGGGAAGTGCTACGAGAGGTGGGAGTAACATGGTTAGGAAGGAAGGGAGAGATTCTCTGTAGCCAATGGGACTGGGAAGGTTTCCTGGAGGAGGCAGGAATGATCTGCGACAGTCCACAGGGGCTGTTCCAGGCTGGGAAAACAGCTTGAGCAAAGACCCAGAGGCAGAAGAAAAATGGGTTTGTGCAGGGAGGGTGGAGAGGCTGACACCCAGAATGCCTGGCAAAGGGGTGAGTGGAGGGAGAGGTGGGCAGGAAAGCCAAGTGGTTAGAGCTGACAGTGGAGCCAGGAGCTGGGCCTGAGAGAGCTGAGTACCAGGCGGAGAAGTCTGCACTTAATTCTGTGAACCTGAAACTTTCTGAGTCAGGGACAAAAAGGTGACAGTCTGGTTTGTAAAAGTCAGTGCCACCTCCCAAAACATCGCAGTGCCTATGGAGCAGGTGCTGGTACGAGGGCCGGGAAGAGCTGGTGAGCAAGCTCATCGACGCTGGCCTTGCAGAGGGCACAACAGAGCGGCAGGGCTGTGGGGACGAGGTCTGCTGGGGTCTGACGTGCCTTTTGTCTCTGGGAATCAGCTCCCTGCTCCCTAGAGCCAGGACAAGGATGTCACTGGCCAGGAGCCACTGCACTTGCCCGCTGGTAGCTGTTCTAGATGACTCAGCTAGGCTGCCTCCAGAACCCACCCCAGAATCAGCCTCTGGTGGTCCCGAGACAGGTAACATGGACAAGGCAGTCCAGGACCGCAGGCAGAGATGTCACACAAAACACCTTCAACATGACTCACTTAAAAAAACAACCAAAAAAGCAGATTTCCTGTTTGCCTCTCTGAAGAGGAAGCTTTCTGTAACTTCTCAAATCTCTCAGGCCCCAGTGCTGACTCTTCTCTCCCTGAGGAACCCGCAGCCTCAGCCCCGGCGGGAAGTGTCCCATTAAGCAATAGGCATCCACTACATCCAACTTTTCAACAGCTGATTCCAGCCAGCCTTCTCTACCTGTTTCCAGCCCCGAGAGTATTGCGGAGATTAATCAGAGAGAAGCTGTCTGCAAGAAGGCAACCCCCTTACAAGTCTCCCAGAGCAGGGCCCCTGTCTCACTCAGCCGCTCATTCCTTACATACTTTCGACTGTGCCAGGCATTCTAGGTAACAGAGCAGTGTGGTTATGGGCGTGGGCTCTGGAGCAAGACGGCCCGAGTTCCTCTCTCAGCTCCACCACTTACACATTGTGTGACCTTGGGCAAGTTAATAAGCTTCTCTGAGCCTTAGGGAAAATAACGTTACCTACCTCGTCAGAGTCTGAGGATTCAACGAGGCATATAAATTTATGAGAACAAGGAATAAGGACACGTACCCACACAAAACTTGTACGCAGATTTTCATCATAACAGCCAAAAAGAAGAAACAACCCAAATGCGCAACGACTGAGGAATGGATAAATGAAATGTGGTACGATAGATTATTCAGCCATGGAAAGGAATAAAGTGCTGACACAAGCTACCATAAGGATAAGCTCGGAGAACATTATACTAAGTGAAAGATGCCAGCCTTGAAGGACGGCCTATTGTATGATTCCATTGATATGAAATGTCCAGAACAGGAAATGGACAGAGATAGAAAGGTTAGTGGTTGCCTGGAGCTGGGGGAGGGGAGAACAGGAGTGACTGCTAATAGGTACAAGGTTTCCCTTTGAAGTAACAAAAATGTTCTAAAACTGATTAAGACGATGGTTGCACAACTCTGTGAATGTACTAAAAGCCATTGAATTGTATGTTTTAAATAGGTGAATTGTACAGTAGGTGAATTATATCTCAACAAAGCTGTTTTTAAAATGCCTCAGAATAATGCTTGGCACATATTAAGCGCTCAAGAAGCGTTGGCTAGTATTATTTAGTGCTAGGAAAACAGGGAGGAAAAAGGCGGGCAGATTCTCTGTCTCGAAGCTTGCGTTCGTGGAATCTTCTTCCGCACCCCCCGCGTCGTCTAGCACAGTGCTGGCAGGTAGCCGACATTCACCGTCGTCTGCTGTGTGCGTCTGTGAAGTCCAGCCATATGTGAAGGTGCGACTTGGGATGTCTGGCCACAGCTGTCTGCCTGTCCACTCTTGTTCCTTAACACGGCTCACTCTCTCGTGACCCACGCAGTCGACT